GGGCCTAGACCCTTCATCAGATGAAGGGTCTAGGCCCGAAACGTCAGCCTTCCTGCTCCTCTGATGCTGCTTGGCCTGCAGTGTTCATCCAGCTCTACACCTTGTGTTATTTTGATGTTTTATGCAAAATTGTGAAGGATGCAGACCTAATTAATAGCTTATTGCTTTTGAAACCTCAGCCCTGTTCCATTAATAGACAAAAGGACAGACTAGACTTCTAATTATGGCTGCTGAGAGTTTCCAGTCTCCACATCTCATTCCAGAATAATTAGTTATTCTGAAAAACCAGAGGCTTGCTGTCCAAAAACTACAACATGACTTTGACAGCAACTTGGATTTCTCAGCAATACTTGTTCTGTGCCTGGATTTTCAACTTTTTCCCATCGAAATATTCTCGATGCTTGTGCTGCCCTCATTAAATCTTACCTTGGTTTCTCCTCCTTACTCTTCCAGTACCTCTCCTTTTAATATGGCACTTCATTATATATCTTTCTTGACTGTCTTTTAAAATCCTTATTCTCTATTGCTTATGCAAAAAGGTTTCTTACTGAGATATCTCAGTAGAGTCAAAATCATACAGCACTCAGAGACCCTTTGATCCCATTCAATTGTGCCAATCAGACATCCTAATCTAACCTAGTCCCATTACCAGCATTTGGCCCATATCCTTCTCAACCCTTCCTTTCATATACCCATTCGGATGCCTTTTAAATGTTGTAATTGTACCAGCCTCCACCACCTCCTCTGGCAGCTTGTTCCAAACACGCTTCACCTTCAGCGTGAAAAAGTTACCTGAGGTCCTTTTTAAATCATTCCCCTCTCACATTAAAACTTTGTCCTCCAGTTTTGAATTCCAACATGTTAGGAAAATGACCGTGACTATTCGCCCTATCCATGCCCCACATGATTTTCTAAATGTCACTCCTCAGCCTCTGACGCTTCAGCCTCTCCCTATATCTCAAACCCTCCAGTGCTGGCAACATCCTTCTAAGTCTTTTCTGCACCCTCTCAAGTTTAACAACAACCTTCTTATAGAAGGATGACGAGAATTGTATGCAGTATTCCAAAAGTGCCTTCACCAGTGTCCTGTACAAGCACATGACATCCCAACTCTAGTCCTCAATGTTATAACCAATGAAGGTAAGGATACCAAAAGCTGCCTTTACCACTCTGTCTACCAGCAACTCCACTTTCAAGGAAGTGTGCACCTGCACCTCAAGGTCTCTGTTTGGCAACACTCCCCAGGACGTTACCATTTACTGTGCAAGTCCTGCCCTGATTTGCCTAACCAAGATGTAACACCTCGCACTTACCTAAATTTTTTTTTTAAACACCATTGGCGACTCCTTGGCCTGTTGGCCCATCTGGTCAAGGTCCTGTTGTACTCTGAGAAAATCTTCTTCACTGTCCATGCACCACATATTTTGGTGTCATCTGCAAACTTACTAACCATACACCTGACATTCACATTAACTCATTAATATGAATGACGAAAAGTAGTGAAAGTAGCACTGATCCTTGTGGCACACAACTGATCACAGACCTCCAAGCTGAAAACATCCCCCATTTCTCCCCCCCCACCCTGCCACACACTGCCTCCTACTCTCAAGCCAATTTTGTATCCAATTGGCCAGCTCCCCCGTATCCCATGTGATCTAACATTACTAACCAGTGTACTATGTAAAACCTTGTCGAACACTGTACTGAAGTTTACACAGGCATTGACTGACCTGCCTTCTTCAAGCTATAACGTGGACGTGCCGGTGTTGGACTGGCATGGACAGGTCAGAAATCTCAGTTAGTCAATGTGGTGTTTTATAAATTCCTTCTTCACAAATAAAACCAGTCTGACTCCAAACCAAATCACAAACAGACTCTAAACACGGACTCACACCTAACATGCATTGTCTGACCTAAAATGTCACCTCTTCTTTACACTGATAAAACCTTAGTTCTAACGGGACAGGGCTTGACAGGAATTCGAGGATATACATAAACATATTAATCAATTAAAACCTTCTAACAGATTGAAGATTCAACAGCATCTTGGGTTTGTTTAGTACATCCTCAATGTGTGACTCTTTGATCTTTTACTTATAAATTCTGTGTCTGATACTACCTCTCTCACTAACACTTGGAGTAAGACTCAGTAAGCTCAGTGTTTTCAAAAAAGCCTGTTGGACTATAACCTGGTGTCCTGTGATTTCTGACTTTCAATCTACTTTGTCATCTCTTCAAAAAACTCAAGTTAGTGGGACATGATTTCCTATACACAAAGCTATGCTGACTATCCCTAATCAGTCATTGCCTTTCCAAATTCATATAAATCTTGTCCCTCAGAATCCCCTCCAACAACTTACCCACCATTGACATAAGGCTCACCAGCCTATGGTTCCCTGGCTTTTCCTCACAGCGTTGCATAAATAATGACATCACATTAGCCACCCTGCAGTCTCCCAGCACTGGACTTGTGGCATAAAGTCAGAAGTCACACAACACCAGGTTATAGTCCAACAGGTTCATTTGAAGTCACAAGCTTGCAAAGCACTGCTCCTTTGTCAGGGGAAGCCATTGAAACCTCATGGAACCTCCAACTGCTGTCGTGACATGAATCAGCTGAATCTCTCCCCACTTCTCCCCATTGGAATGCACAGCCCCCCACTCCAATCCAACCTCACCATCAAACCCGCAGGTGGGGGAGAAAAGAGTGCAGTGGTGGTATAGTATACTGACCTTTACATCACGGAGGCCAGGCACCAACTCTCTGACACCTCCTCCTACCAGCCCCTCAATTATGATCCCACCCCCGATCACCACAACATCATCTCCCAGACCATCAATAACTTCATCACCTCAGGAGACCTCCCACCCACAACCTCCAACCTCAGTTTCCCAACCTCACACTGCCAATTTCTATCTACTTCCCAAAATTCACAAACCTGACTGCCCTGGTTGACCCAATGTCTCTGCCTGCTCCTGCCCCACTGAACTCATTTTCGCTTACCTCGACTGTTTTCTCCCACCAATCCAGGAACCCCCCCACCTACGTTCGGGACACTACCCACATCCTCCACCTCCATGACTTCCAATTCCCCGGCTCCCAACACCTTATCATCACCATGGAACATCCAGTCCCTGCACGTCAGTATCCCCCATTGACGCTCTCATCTACGGAACTTATCCTTACCCTCAACAACTTTTCCTTTAAGTCCTCCCACTTCCTATAAACTAAACGGGTGGCTATGGGCACCTGTATGGGTCCGAGCAATGCCTGTTTTTTCATAGGATGTGTGGAACAGTCCCTCTTCCACTGTTATACTGGCTCCATCCCTCACCTTTTCCTCTGCTAAATTGATGACAGTATCGGCACTGCCACGTGCTCCCACAAGGAGCTTGAACAGTTCGTCAACTTTACCAACACCTTTCACCCCGACCTCAAATTGACCTGGACCATCTCCGACACCTCCCTCCCCCTTCTGGACCTCTCCGTCTCCATCTCCAGTAACTGTCTCAGCACTGAGATCTATTTCAAACCCATCCGCTACCTTGGCTACACGTCCTCTCACCCACCCTTCTGCAAGAAGGTGATCCCTTACTCCCAATTCCTCCACCTCTGCCACATCTGCTCCCTAGATAGAGCATTCCACTCCCAAACATCCCAGATTTCTTCCTACTTCAAGGACTGCAACTTCCCCCTCCATTGATTCACAATAACCTCAACTGCATCTTATGCATTTCCTACACATCTGCTCTCAAACCCTCTCCCCCCAACAAAAGTAAGGACAAACCCCCCTGGTCCTCACATACTACCCCACCAACCTCTGCATCCAGCACATCATCCTCCACCACCTGCAATCTGACCCCAAAGAGATATTTCCCTCCCCACCCTTATCTGCCTTTCATATGGACCGCTCACTCCGCAACTCCCTCATCCCCTCCACACTCCCCACTAACCCCACCATACCGGGCACCTTTCCTTGCAACCGCAGCAGATGCTACACCTGCCCCTACATCTCCCCTCACCTCCGTCCAAGGCCCGAGATAAACTTTCCAAATCCAACAGGGATTCACTTGTACATCCTCCAACCTGGTCTACTGTTATCTGTTACTCCTGATGTGGTCTCCTATTCATTGGTGAGGCCAAGCGCAGACTCGGTGACCAATTCGCGGAGCATCTGTCCTGAAGGGTCCCGACCTGAAACATCGACTTTCCTGGTCCCCTAATGCTGCCTGACCTGCTGTATTCCTCCAGCTCCACAATGTATTGACTCCGACTCCAACATCTGCAGTTCTTGCTATTTTCAAATTGCAATTAGTCACTTTACAATCTAAGTTTACTCTAAGTTTGCATTTTGAAATACAGCTTGGTATCAAAAATATTAGGTTCAAAAAGGCACTAAACAAATTTTTCAATACAGGAACGTATTGAGGGGTAGGGTCTGGTGCCCGAGTGTAAATTCGTATATGTTTCTCCTTTCTCTCATTCGTTCAACAGAATGCAAGTGCAACAGTTCCCATGACCATTCACCCTGCGCCAGTAATGACGGTGAAGCCCTTCTCCCCTTCCTGTTATCACTAGGTGAACATCTGAATTAAAATTTACTGTGGGTTGGTGAAGAAATATATAGAAGCTCATAGTGCAGGTGATGAAGGACTAGCAAACTATCCCCAACCACCAGAAACTAGCAACAGCAATTCATCACAAATATGAGTAGCAGGAAGAATAGCAAGTTCACATAACTTGTACAAGCACACATGGGACAGAGGAGCAAAGAGATCTTGGAGTGCAAATTCATTAATCACAAAGCTCCATTATAAATTAGCAAGACCATTAAAAAACCCATTTGTATAGGTATATAATTGAATTGTTGGGGAGTTATGTTAAATCTGTGTTAAACCTTGATTAGATCACACTTACAATATTGGGTGCAGTGTTGGCTGCCAATGTTATAAGAATCAATATGCCCACTGAAGATATTGAAGGGAGGATAATGATAACATGATACAAGAATGGGGAAGATGTACAAATCAGACAAGAACTGATAAGCCGGGTCTTTTTTCTCTTTGGACAAAAAAAAAGAGATCAGTGACCAAGTAGAGGTCATTAATTAAATGTTTTGAAAGTGTGGACACAAAGAGCATTTCCTCTTATGGAGGGAGCATAAAAGGGGAGATTATCAACCCAAGATGGTTTCCAAGAATCCAATAGAGAAACTTATTCAAAGAATGATGAGAATTTTAAACTCACTAGCACAGGGAAAGGTTGAAACAAATATCAGATGTAGTCAAGGAGAAAAGAACAGTGTGGGAGGAGGATAAAGATTTACAAATGCAGATTTAGAAAAAGTGTAGGAAAGATGGATGGAAGCTCAAGTGGACGAAAAAACACCAGCATGAACTGGCTGGACAGAAATTATTTTTATGTTGTATATCCAATGTACAGTAATGATTTAATGCCCTCTTTTTCCTCTTATTCTTCCTAAATAAAAGTAAAGTTTCCATTGTCTTACCAGACTGTAGGGTTGCTCTCTCAGTAGCGACAGACAGACAGGACTGGTGGGGTCTTAACATGGGAGTCATCACACCTCAGAAAAGGGGAAGAGTTTGGGGAGGAGAATCCTTTATGGGAACCTCAGCTGGTGTGGTAATTGAACCCACACCTTTGGCATCATTTTGTGTCACAAAACAGTTATCCAATCATCACCAGGAATGTTCCTGTTCTTGTTTGACACGAATTGTTGTTATTGGCACTATACCATGATAGGGATTTGACCCATTATAAACCCAAATGTATTTCTAAATCCACCATAAATCTGAATGCAGTTCCTTATCAAACCTAGAAGTAGAAATTCAGACCCATTACATAATTTTAAAAGTTAGTAAACACTTAACCAGTGAAGAACAAAACGATCTGACGCAGCAAAGATCACATTAACAATTGCTTTATATACACAATATTGTCAGAAACTTGACAAGACTCATCTTAAATGGGGAAACCTGAACATGGAGAAAGGCTCAGAGAGAAAGTGGACGGTCCTACTCAGTCTCAGGCTTTACTAAATTAAACAGCGCGAAAAAAATCCCCGAGGATGTTGTCTCATGGCATTTTACAACAGGATTCACTCGGACTCCAGTCAATTATAAAATGCTTGGACGGTCCCTTGGAGATTTTTACATGGAATCTCTGTGAAGTGAGGAGGTGAGTGAACACTATTCATTTGTTCTGGGGGTGCTGACAAGAACTCACTAATGTCCTTTAGGGAAAGAAACTGCCATCCTTACCTGGTCTGACCTAAACGTGACTCCAGACCCACCACAATGTAGTTGGACTCTTAAATGCCCGCTGGGCAACAAACGGTGGCCTAGCCAATGACGCCCTCATCCTATGAATTAATTTTTTAAAAAACTACAGTACAACGTCCTCGATTTAGCGTTCACTTCCACTATTGAATTTAGCAAATACCAATGTTACAAACCCAGTTTCACTCTCAATAACCACCTCGCGTTTAGTCAATATTAACTTTATGCTTTTCCAACTTCACTACACAAGCTGAAAGCGTCTGTGAACTACACCTAAAACTATAACGTTTGAAAACAAATGTTTAAAACAAGTTAGACTTGTAGTCAATGGACCCGAGTCTTTTAAAAATAAACAAGAACCAAGCTTTAAAATTTAACAAATCTCCTTTAAGCAAATAAAATGAACTACCATCTTACCTGCCTTTTAAAAAAAAGCTTTCAAACTGCGTTTCCAATGTGGTGGTGCAAAGAACTCCACAGAGAAGACTAGACCACGTCATACTCACCATGGAGTTGCCAGCTCCCTCCAATCAATCGGCAGCTGAAGACTATTAGCTCTGGGAGATCGTTTACTGGAGATGTAATGACTTAGACTCTCTCTAGGGGGCATAGTAAAAACCTGTTCACAGATTTGCAGAAATGGACCGTGTATTACAGACGAGGGAAGCTCTTCATCAGGTAGCACAGGCATGATGGGCTGACTAGCCTCTTTCCGCGTGATAAATTTTATATAATTTCCATAATTGTAAAGAGTTCTCGTTCGTTTCGCCCAGTTGTCAAAAACGGTTTTCAACGCCTCGACCAAGTTACCTTCAGTACAAAGATTGGCTATTATCGTCTTGACAGAAACTTATGCAAGTTTCGAGCTGCAGGCGTCACAGTTTTCACAATAGTGATTCTAAATATTACCGACATAATCCGGCTCAAACTTGTACAGGTATGCATGTGAAACGATTTACTTCCACTCGGTAATATAGTTTATAAAACACTTCATTGCTTGGAGCAATTCTAAACGTTTACAGACGGCAATGTTACTTAACATATAAAATCCAGGATTAGATAAGAAAGTTCGGGTTAAGTTCTTTCTGCCCCAGGTGTGCCTATCATGACAGAACAAGTTGATTAAAAATATCTATAACGCACTGATAGCTCAAACTAACTTGTTGATGCTCTAACTGCAACAATGTCACGTATAACAGGAGGAATGGAAAGCTGTTTCCGGTTTATTAAAAAAAACTGAATTTTGTTTTCTCTCTATCTCATTTACAAGAAGAGATAGTACACCTACGCTCGGTTCGCAATAAAAGTACACCTACGCTCGGTT